ATTTTTTTTTCATTTTATATTTCAGCCTAACTGAACTGAAGGCTATATACATGTGGAGAAAAAAAAAATCCTTAAAGCCCAAGGGCTTTCAAATAATTACACTAATGGTAATTGAATTATTCCTTATTATCAGTGTTAAAAGAGTATCAGTGATGTTTTATAATGTTTTACTAACAGTTAAGGTGACACATTTTTAGTCAGTTTTATAATGGAACAACGCTAAACCTTTCTGGAACCTTATGTGGTACTGACCATGCTCATACTGAAGACAATGTGAGTTTTGCCAGTGAAATCAATGGAAAAGAACCAGGATACAAATTAGCATTTGTATTAGTTGGCATATTTATCCTAAATATCATTTTTATATATATTAGACCTCTATTATTTCACTCTTAATTATCCTTATAGTAAGTGACATGAAGATTCTGCTATGCAGGTAGAAAATGCAAGACAGCTAAAGTTAAACTGTAAATTTAATTTTTGGGGAGTTTGTTTACAGTGCTGTTGTTTAACCTGTGTGAATAAGTAGAAATAACCTTTGTTTTGGATAAATGAAACATTATGTCACTAAGGGGTAATGGAACTTGCCCATAGTTCATTAGATTTAATAGATCTGGTAGTAGGATGGGTTATCAAATTTTCATTACAACTATAGCCATTGTTAAACCCATATTCATTTTTCAAGATAAATATGCTCAAGTTTACCAAGGGACTCATTGCATTGGACAATCTAGTGAGTATAATGCAGGTTGGATATTAATTGTGAACTGATATTGCATTTAGGAAGGGTATAAGCAATATTTCAGACACTGCATAGAATAAATTGCTTGACCTTCTATATATAATCTAGTAATCTGATATATTCTAAAACTACTGTATAACACAATCTGTCTTTAAAACTCATGAACCATATTCTATTTTCTTTCCATGCACCCAACTGTTACTTAAGTCATGTTAAAAAGAATTTTGTGTAAAAACTAAATGTAGAATATTGGCCAAAATTTTTGTGCACACCATTCAAGTGCAGTCTACAGGCAATGTATATCATTCAAATTCTAGTATCTAGGCCATTGCATAGTTGGTAGTGACAAATACTTTATATACAATGGATTAAATTAATCCCTGATGTAATTCTAGTAAAGTCAACTGAATTTTACTATAGGTGAATAAAGGTTAGCATGCTCTCAGTGAGTTACAAGGTTTTCTTCATCTTTATTTAAACATAATATTTTGAAATATAAAATATATGTCAATGCTTAATTCTTTCTAAGAAAATGGCTCTGAAAGGTTAAGCATGAAATAGAGTTAAGTGATTCAGAGAATTTAATGAAAATTGACATAATAGGATATAAGACAAATTAAGAAAGGAGAAATTGACCCTGTCTGTAGTGTGTGAATATATAAATCACTGTTTGTACAGGATCTTAAAAATGAAAGATGCTGAATGAGCATTATTATTATTATTCAGACAAACTAACTGTATCTATAGATGAGAATATTAATTAGTTTCTTGGGCTACTATAATGGTTCATTTTTCTTGTAATTCATGTTTATCACAAAATTTTAAAAAATTACCTTAGATGGCCAGAGTGGCTTGTTATGTTTATATCATGGCTTGAATATGATCCTAGATATGAGTTTGGATGCAATAGAACAGCTTGAAAATCCAGTGTTGCAAATTAAGACTGTATTTTTCAATATACCCAATGCTGATTCTCTATTTCTGAGATTATAAAATGATGTTCATTGTATTAAATGATCTCTGACTGATACATTTCCTATCTTAAATTAGGAAAATAACTATAGGTATTCTATTTTAAGCTAATAGTTTTTTTTATGATCCCACTAAAGTTAGTTGGACTTATGATGTAAACCTCAGTGAGAGTAATAATTAGCCCAACATGTCATGTCCAATTATTTCTGATGCTTCATATGTAATTCAGAAGAAACAAAAGGTCAGAGCTTCACTTCTTTGGGGATTACAGTGAGATAAACTTAGTTGTTTTTGCAAGCAAATGGCTAATTTACTGCTTTATCTTTATGTTTTTATCCCTGTAAAACATAAAACATGACCTTGCTGTATTATTCTCATAATTACATAGATTGATGTCTTTTTATTCTCACCTTGTTTTTATTTTGTTTTCATTAGTGTAATTTATAAAGAATAAACTATATACTAAGTTTGGTATGTCAAGAGAATAACAAGTTGGCCTAATCTCAAGAGAGGTTATAAAGCAACAGAGTGGTTGTGCTTCAGTAGTAGATATATGAAGAGCCAGAAGGGCAAAACAATAAAAAAAAAAGAGAATCAAAAGGCTACTGGTTTTAAGACCCACATTTGTTATTACTAATAGAAAAGTGAGGGTAAGTGCCTGCCTTGGTTAGGTAATAGGAATAGTTTAATGACAATCCATCCACACTCCTCTCCTGTAAACTGTAATTTACTTCTAGACCAAAACCAAAATAGTCCATTACTTGATCTTGAAAAGTGTTAAGAGGTTCTCATATGGCCCTTTTTAAATGCTGAAATACTCTGAAAAATGTAAGGTTGGAAAGCACCTGTTAAAGAGACCTCTCAAAATTTATTTTACAGCATGCAGAGACTGGAATAAAAATCTGTTATGAACTGCAACTAAGGGTCACATCATCAATTAATACATCTAAAAATACAACTCCATTTGTATAGGCTAGGTTTTAAAATAGCATTAGTAAGAATTAATTTAAAAATAAATTAAATGCTGAGATATATATCACACAGCCAGACTTGAGCTGATACAAACCGTTTGTAAACACTAAGATAGTCACTCCTCACATGTTTGTCCCAGGATATCAGCATTTAATTTATTTTTAAATTAATTACTAATGCTATTTAAAACCTAGCCTATACAAATGGAGTTGTATTATATATAGTGTATAGGCTGTGCTGTCAGACTGGAAGAGGCAAAAAACACATTTTGGTTCAGCTCAATCCAATTTTTTATTTCAATTTTCTCAAACGAAAAAGAAAAGAAAAAGCTACATTACAAAAGACACAAATGTTCAGTGAACCTGATTTTTCCCCCTAGCAAGAATTCACAGAAGTATGAGATGTAGAGTTGTTATCTCCATTTTATTCAACAGCGCTGGCATTAGTCTATAACCCATAATGCAAGGAACAGAGATTTTGTTCCCTCCTCTGTCTGAGGAGACTTGTACCCATTTCTCCCATGAAAGCACTCTTGCCACCTGGCTGCTGCATATTCTGCAAACCCTTTTGTTAGAGCTATTTAATTTTCGGTGAAACTCGGGTGGCGGCCCAATAGTTGCCACCCCTGCCCAGTATCAGGGATGGTGTGGTGAGAGTGGGGCAGGGCTTCTGGCCAGCACCAATTTACTTCCCAGCTGGCCCCTGCTCCCCACAGAGCAGTCCATGGTCCCAAGGTCTAACACTTAACCAATTTAACTATTTACACTTTATTTACAAAACAAGAATAATAGGAAAGGTTATTTACAAGTGAACTTAAAATGGCATAACCAGAATCACAAAACAAACCAGAATGCATTAGTCAACCTTTGACTCAAGAACCACAGGTAGGGTAACTGGCAGCTTTCAGCCACTGCTGAGATGCTACAGCAAGCCGCCGCGCAGATGCTACCACAAGGAAGCAAGGTGCTCACTCCCTGCAGCTCCAACAGGCTTCCCAATAAGTGACAGACTGCAACAGGTTAAGCTCTTCTGGTCTGCAGCAATCCCATTGTATCAAGCCCCAACCCACCAAAGAGGCTGAAGGGCAACCCTCTGTGGCAACCAAAAAGGCAAGCAACAAGCAACAGAGTAGGCTCCTGCAGCAATCGGCATGGCTCAAGCACAAAGCTCAGGGACTCCATCTGATGACAATCAGCTGCAGAATAAGGGACAGGACTGAGTCTCCTTTGTGGCAGTCAGTGGCAGAGAGTCAGCAGCACAGGCAGCTCCTAGGCGTCGTTGCTCTAAACCCCTGCTCCAGATGACTAGCCAGGCGCCCCACATGCCTCACGGCTCACCAGTCCCGCTCCGAGCGCCGGCCTGCGCCCCAAGCTCCTGGGGACCCTTGTCCTGGCGCTCTGCTACTCCTCAGGATCCCAATGCCTTGCCTGCTGCTGTCCCACTTCCCCAGGGAAGGTAAGGGGTTTCCTCAACTCACCAGCCCAGCTCCCTGCTCCGGATAAGGATGCCGCCTGCACTCCTGGCCGCTGCTTCTTCTCCGCAGTGGAGTGGGGGGGGGGCGATTACCACCCCTAGCCTCCGGGATGCCCGGCATGTCCAGCACACTGCAATAAGGCCTTGGGGCACCAGCTCTCTGCCCCAAGCCCTGGCCGCTACTCCCTCTCTGCTGCAGGGCTGGCGGCACAGCTGACTGCCCTCTTCTTCCAGGGCCTTTGAGGCTCTTCAGAGGGTCTCTCTGCTCCCTCTGCTGGGTCAGCTCACCCCAGCTCTTCTTAGGCCTCCTGTGTTGTTCCCCAGACTACAAGCAGCCCCCGTGCTAGTTCAGCTGCTGCTTTTATCCCCTCCAGCAGTCCCTCCCTGTCTTGCAAACCGGCCAACCAGGGCTCAGGGTGGCAGGCCCCCAATTCCGGCCATCCCCCTTCCATGCAAATGAGGGGATTGAAAACCCCTTCTTTCGATTGGCTTCTCATTTTCCATGGGGCAGGGCTCCCCTGCTCCACCCTTGGGGTCACTCAGAGTTCACCCACACTGTTTGTAGCCCAGGGTAAGTATCCCAAGCCAATCTGGTGAGCCCACATTGGCAGTCTGTTACATCTGTAACTAATTAAATTTTCACTAGAGCAAATTCAAGTCTACTCTGATTTAGGGCAGAGATTTAAACCACACTTTTCCATTGTTTATCTGAGTGTCTCTCATGGGGAGACCTGAGGTAGGGCTCCCCATTGGTCATTCCAATATAGGAGTCCTTCAATTGTTTCTTTTGCAGCAGTTCAACTTATTTAGGAACAAAACAAATTAAAACAAAACAAAGCACAATTTAAATAATCATTGAGACAGAATATATGGATGAGAGACTGACCTGGTAGATATGGCACTCAGCTAGAAGGTGAGACAGCCTCTAATATACTTCGTGTTTAAGTATTTTGTACAAAATAGAATAATATCAATGTGAGAAGCTAGGGACCATCCTGAATACTGGGGTACTCTCCTGCAAGTTAAAGCTTTGGGCTCAATTTTTGTATCAAAAAGGTATTGAATGTACATTTACCCTCTCCTAGATAAATTACTATTCTTTAAAGTGAATCTAAATTTACCATGATATGTATTTATCCCCAATCCTTTTTTCCAAATGAAGCCGGGGGGGAAAAAAGCTTCTAGCAAAAAAAAGTCCCCATCCTCAAAATCATCAGAGTTCATTAATGTTTGATTTTTTTTTTTTTTTATCAGTCCAAATCCTTTTTAATTTTTTTACCTTTTATATTGAAATCGCCTGCAGAAAGTCTAAAAGATTTGGCCTCCAGTTAAACACAAACTTGTACATTGAAAATGTCATCAGCTATAAAAAGTTCAAGAAACTTTCTCTGTTTGAAGTTAAAACACTGCCCAGTGCCCCTTCCCTTATTAGCAGCCAGACTGGTGCCTATCTATGCCCTTACTTCTACTTTACAAACAGCTTTAA